GACTGGCGACAGATCGATACCAAGGAGTACACTGTTGACGATCTCAAGGATGTGATCTACTCCCGCTTAGGCCAACATCGCACGGCCTTCTGGATGGCCCTTCCTTCGACTGGCGATTCAAGAGTATGGGAAGTCCCACACACCTGCACCCTTGAAGATCTCGTCCTCTACTTCATCAACTCACGACGGGTACGTCCACAGGGCCTCTCTGCTGAATATCCCCGTGAATCCGTTCCTTTTCCTTACCGACCTCTACATACAGTCGCTCCCCGCCTTCATGACGATGCCATTGGTCAACTCCGACTCCCATTGACTGCCTATCAGACCTACCGTGAGATCCGTCAGTTCACTTAGTCTCACCTCCCCTTCGGCGCGGAGCTTAAAAAGCTTGCCTCCCTTCGGGGAGGCGTGTGTGTGTAACCCTTGGAGTCATAGGGATCCTGTTTGGATTTGATGTGGCCTTCTCCTACGCTTTCGCTTTTGATTTTCTAGTGCAGGGGGGCAATGAACACTTTGGAAGGCATTGCCCAACGAAGACCCTTCCATTGTGTTGTGATATTCCTGAGGGACGCCTCGGGAACGTACCTGCAATTTTCCATTTTGAATGGCGAGAGGCTAAGCCAAGAACCTCATTGAACTTGGCTTTTCTGCACGTACGTCGTCACTACGTCGTCACTTTGTCGTCCGCTCGATCGATGCTTTTCTTTTGGAGTTGCTGGCCACCTGAAACCTATGAGACCTCCGCTGGATGGACCTCCACTTCCTTTTAGGTTTCTTTACCTGTACCCTTAGGAATTGGAACCCTAGGCCGGCGTGTGGCACCGCTATCAAATCAGTACGCATATCCATGAGTGTGTCGCATTTTTCGTTTTGTGGGATGAATATGTTTCTTTTCCTGGTTTGTCTTTTGAGCATGAGTCCAATACGCTTGAGAAGGGGAGGAGGGATGATCAAGAGGATTCTATTTCCCTTTCCTCGGAGTTTGACACCTGGGAGGTGGAGTCAAACTCTTCTTTTGTGAGTTGTGAAGATCAACGTTTGTGTTCTGATTTCCTTTTCGAAGGTCCGGACGGAGATTTGGACGCGCTTTTGGTGTTTTTTGAGGGATTTGCTTGGTTGATTTTGCACAGGTTGAGGATCATTTCATTTAAGGGAACGAAATTGATATGAGAGTTCATTTCATTTAAGTTTGGTCCATTATCTTCATTCATTGAATTCAATAAGGGGTTTTACAATAAACTCAATGAATGGTGGATCTGTCTCTTGAATCCTCTTATCCAGGCCGTCTATGGCATTTTTATTTAATAAGACCCTACCCTCACTGACTTGGGCGCCACAGGGAAGAGACGGATGGGCCCGACCACGACTCACGAACCATTAGAATGAACGGCCCATCATAAGCCTGCCAAAGATCTTAAGTTGTAAAAGCGTGGAATGATGCCAAAGACAACTTACTAATGCTGCAACTAGAAATCCAGAAAAATAAAACCATCATACTTATTTTAGAACTTTTATTGGTGGTCTTTATCTTTTTCTTCGTTCAAGATTCATAGCTGCAACCCTAAGATACAGATAGGATGTTTTAGTAGAATGAGCATCCAGAATGGTGTAGAGCTCGATGATGAAAGCAAGGGCACAAGATAACCCAAGAAAATATGATGGTAATAATATGATTCCACAACTATATACTAATGAAAAGGACCAAGAAAATTAAGCTACAATTTTTAACCGTCTTATCGCATAATAGAAATAGAAAATAGATAGAAAAGGACATAACATAAAGCGATTTTGCATACTATGGCTATCTTTTGTTAATAATGGAACTCTAGTTTTATGTTAATCAAAATATATTCTTCTTTAATGGAATTTCTATGGTAAGATGAGAGAGAAATATGAAGATGTGCAGGTGTGAAAAAAGAGAGATATGACAGATGTGAAGATGTGCATGTCTAGATATGTGCATGCGTAAACATGGGCGGATGTGGAGATATGATGATGACAGCGGTAGTGATGATGATGATGATGATGATGATGATGACGCTGATGATATGTGCTCATGTTTCTGCCCCTTTCTTTTTTAGGAAGAACCCTTCGCTCAGATGCTGTCGCGAAAAACGTCGTTTCCCAGCTGATCGATTCGGTACGATGACGTGAACCCCAAAAGATCCTTGAGGCAGCTATTGGACAATATGCAATTGAACACTTTCCCAACAAAAGCAGGAGCGACGCTTCAAGTGCTAGTGCCATTGACAATTGACGAACGTTGGAAGCAGAGGACGTGGCGGAGACAAGAGAATCAAGAAGAGGATGAGAGTGAATGGTCGAAGAGAGTGGACAAGGACCATTGGCTCGTGGTGATGCGGACAGATCAGATTTTGGGCAAGCGTCCTTGGGTACCTCAACCATCATGTGAAGAGAGTTTTTTGATTGTCTACGCAAGAGGACGAAGACGTGGACGGGAAATTGAACTTGAAAGAGAAACAATTTGACGGTGCATGCTTGAACGCAAGTTGACACGATTTCTGGACACGAGGATGAAATCAAATTCGGTTGAACCATAGGAAACTTCTATGGAAATCAAACCATGAAATCAGCGAAAATTTTGACTAGACCTTGTTTCAGTGCCACATAGCTGATTGTGGATAGGCGAGACTATGAAAAGGTTCGAACGCACTACCTTTTCATTTTAGGCGGGGTGTTGGGATTTGTAGAATTACAAAGTACGCGCCAATTGACGCGCACGACAAATGTTTGTAGTTTGCTAGTGGAAAATTACTCTTACCATGAACGCTACCTTGCTGAAAAGGATCGGGCGGCTACCTAACTGAAAAGGCTGTTTGTCCGGCGCAGGTCTGGTAGGGTTTATATGAATACAGCCACTTTCTGGATTGAGCACCATCAATTCCCGCCATTGCGCCAACCATAAACTCCCGCCGGTGCCATGGAATGCTTCTGGTTCAGAAGTGTTACACGACGTCATTTTTGCATTATCCCCGGAAGAGACCCCAAACAGTGTGTGTGAGGTCCAGAGGTGTAGAAGCAGAAAGTCTAGAGATCTGACGCATTGGGCCCCACAAACGTGATGGTGGTGATGAAGGTGGAGATCGTGGTCATGGTGGCAGTGGTGGTGAGTGAGTCAGTGAGTGAGTACGTGTGACCGTGAGTGTGCGTGTGAGTGTGAGTGTGAGTGAGAAAGAGAGCCAGAGTGAGAGCAAGTGCGAGTGAGTGAGTGAGTGAGTGTGAGTGTGAGTGTGAGTGTGAGTGAGAGTGAGAGTGAGAGTGAGAGTGAGAGTGAGAGTGAGGCGCCTGCCACGAAATCTGCACTTCGAGGTTCGCAAATTGGTGTGGCTAACACGAAATCTACGCATTGAGGTTCACAAAGTGCTGTGCCTGCTACAAAATCTGCACTTCGAGATTCACAAACTATTGTGCCTCCCACGAAATCTGCACTTCGAGGTTCACGAAGTGCTGCGCCTGCCACGAAATCTGCCACGAAATCTGCACATCGAGGCTCACAAAGTGCTGTGCCTGCCTCGAAATCTGCATTTCGAGGTTCACAAAGTGCTGCGCCTGCTACGAAATCTGCTCTTTGAGGTTCCCAAAGTGCTGTGCCTGCCAAGAAATCTGCCACGAAATCTGCGCATCGAGGCTCACAAAGTGCTGTGCCTGCCTCGAAATCTGCACTTCGAGGTGCCTGCCGCGAAGTCTGCGCTTTGAGGTTCACAAAGTGCTGCGCCTGCTACGAAGTCTGCACTTTGAGGTTCGCAAAGTGCTGTGCCTGCCACGAAGTTTGCACTTTGAGGTTCACGGAGTACTGTGCCTGCCACGCCACGAACTCTGCACTTTGAGGTTCACAAAGTGCTGTGCCTGCCACGAAATCTTCACTTCAAGGTCCACAAAGTATTGCACGTGCCACGATTTCTGAAAACCTGCCGCATGTAGAAAAGTCACGATTCACTGCAATGGTCATGAAATCAGAGCTCCGCGAAGATCACCACCATGTCCAAACTGCTGCGCCTGCCACGAAATCTTCATTTCAAAGTAAAACCGTTCCGACCCCTTGCACCTGTCACGAAAAGTCGACTTTGGACACCCAAAACACGAGGTTTCCCTTGCGCCACGGACAGTGACCATCCTGTTCGAAAATTCGCACGGCGCCACAACGAGAGCGCAGTCGCGTCAAGCACCCACCGCAGCCCACCAGATTTTGTGAGGGTGCGCAGTCGAAGTGCACTTCGAAGATTTCGAGAGGCATGAATGCACTGTAAATAGCAGCGAATTAGCCGGACGCCCCGGTGCAACACCTCGATTGGACACCGGCCCTTAACCCCTACCGTAAGAACCCCTAGTGTGTGCACATTGTTTGGGGAAAAACGATTGAACACAGATGCGATAGCTGAATGATCACATGTCATCCTTGCCGTGGAACCTGACCCAGAAGACCGATGTTTTTTCTCTCCAGTCTTTCATGGCGTTCCCAGTAACCACGACGACGAGCCTTAGCAACTCCGGATGTTGCCAGCAATCGGACGCCGGTGTCTATTGGTAACAGCTTTGCTTTTCCACTTGGGCCAATTTGGAAAAAGATCAAAATCGGTCTGTTTGTGCGGCCTGCTGAGGCTTTGCGAGTCAGAACGGCGGGATGCTTGTTTTGCTTCCTGACGAAAACACATGTTTTGCCTTTTTGCGAACGTCCAGAATTGAGCAGGCATCTCAAGATTTCGCGCTGTAAAAGCGACATCTTGTCATGTATGACTCCTTTTTGGGCGGAGTTGTTTCCGCAAGAGCAGCTAAATCACTTCCCCCACTGTTAGACAGTTGGTGCACTCCACAACCAGCTGTTTGTCATATGTGGTGATTGGACCTTGCGCGTTTTTGACATGCGCACCAAACCTTCAAAAGCCTGATGCGTTACTGTTCGTGAGACTTTCTTTTCTGTCGCTGTTTTCAGTTCAGCCTCTGTGGGCCGCTTCGGCCTGTCCGATGTGCCAATCCTGTAAATGGCATCCAGCCAGACGCGGCTGGCAGGACGTTTGACTGAAAAGTTTGCGCTTTCCACATCAAACGAATTCAACAAGTTCCTTCCGTGTTTTGTTCTTTGCCAGTGTGTCTCTGCATTGGGGTGATACGAAAAACGAGGGGCATGGTCAGCACGTGGTTACCTGCAGAGTTTGTGGGGCATGTGGACTTTCGTTGGGTTGAGGGGAACATCATAGCATCATAAGTCTAGGTAAAGAGTTGTCATGGCAACAGGTTTGTGCTGGTGTTGGATTAAACAAATCAAAATGTATTCTAGGACCTGGCGCGCATTTCATGGACACAATTTTAAAAACACAATTCGTTTGATCCAAGGCCTTGTGCGCACCACATATTGCAATGCTTCTAAATCTGCGATCAATACCTGGCTCGCTCAACTTGTTGCAGACATAGCCGGGACCGGAAACTTATCCATTGAGTGCCTCACTAATGTTGCCTTGATTTTGCTTTGCACATTTGATGCTTTTGAAAGGCTAGCCCGGTAAAAGTCTTCTCTCAGGAATTGAGGCTCTGTGGTGCCTTCTTTTAGAGACTCATGAGCTGCAGACGCTGAAAGCATTGGAAGCAGCAGGTGTAAACATATCTTTTGCGGCTTGGCATTCTTGAAAAAAATTGAAATCATCAGATATATGTATATATATATATGTATATTTATTTTGTTTTTAAATATATATATATATATAGACATATATTTTGCGAAAAACCAGCCGATAGTCTAGGCTGGCGTTGTCGATGGGCGAACGAAACAAGTATTAGGGGTGTGGGGGGTTGGCGCACAGAAGGCAATTTGGGAGGGCGAACCCAGAGCCTGGTGGGGAAGAGCGAAAAACAGGTGGGCAGAATGGGAGTGAACATGTATAGTTTTTGGGGTGTTGTGATGCAAGTGATGTAATTGACGGCGAAGATGATAGGAAAGGGGGGACAATGGGACGCGAAAAGTGGTTGGAACGCCTCCAGGAAAGGGAGGCGTGCATCTCTGGTGGCCATTTAAAAAATCTTCGACCAGGGGTGAAAGGGAGGTGTGCGAGTCCATCAAAAAATTGTTGTCTTGTGGAAATAGGGTGATCTGTGAGGGCAGGAGAGTGAACTGAATGCTGTGGGGAAGGGATTGCAAGAAATGATGTGATCCGTTGAGGAGGGAACAGAATGCAGTGAGCCAGCTTTGTGTTGCTTGGGGGTGCTCCTTTTTACTGGTGAAGCGGCGTAGTAGCCAGCCGCAAAAGGGCACCCCATATGGGGTGGGAGGTCATGTGGAAGACAGGCATAGCGGAGGAGGACGTGGTAGGAAAAGAGGGATTGCAATAAATCTGTGAGTTGCTTGGGGGTGCCCCTTTTTTATGGTGAAGACGCCGGTTAACCATACGCAAAAGGGCACCCTACATGGGGTGGGAGTTAGCAGGGGAGGATGTGATAGGAAAAGAGGTGGGGAGCTCACCAAGGAAGCCAGAAGTGCTTTGCTCAGCGGCAAGGGAGATGTGCGAGGATGTGCGTCTCCAGAGGCTAGTCTTGTACCAGGGGTGGAGTTTATGTATTGGGCAGGAACTAAAGTGGTTGGAAGTCCTTCTGACAAGGGGGATGCGCGTCTTCCAACACTCTGTCTTCTTGTAGCTAATGCGAGTGGACGGGGTCGCAAGAAGTGATGTGATCCGTTACGGGCAGGAGAGGGAACAGAATGCAGTGGGCCAGCTTTGAGTTGTTTGGGGGCGCCCTTTTTCTATGGTGAAGAGGCTGGTTAACCAGAAGCAAAAGGGCACCCCATATGGGGTGGGGGGAGGAGAGGCGTCGCGGGGAGGAGGTGATAGGAAAAGAGGTGGAGAGCTCACCAGAGAAGCGAGAAGTGCGTCGCTCAGCGCTCTGGAGAGAACGTGACCTTTAGAAGATAGGAGAGGACAATGTGATTGGAAAAGAGGCCAGAAATACTGCAAGAAAGTGAGATGCGAACCATCACTTTCTCCTGGTGAATAAGAGTGGAAGGGAACGTCAGTGGTTGGGCTTTGGTGCGGATCAGAGTTCAGGCTGCGCACTGTAAAAGCAATGGCTTCGGGGTGCCCTTTTTTCTCTTCCTTCAAACGCCCCTTTCTCCAAAAGAAAAGGGCCCCCCACCTGTGACTGAAGGCCTGTCATGTCAGCCCCGCCTTATGCCTCCCAACGCTTCCCCTGCGCTCACGCGTTGACCATATTCATATCTCCTTACGGAGGCTGGCTTTCGCCCCCTCCCTTCTCAGGTATATAATATATATATATATATAGTTTGTATTTGTATTTGCCAAGTTTCGGTATGGCATTTGCATCAACCTGCAACTACCTAGCAATGAAGACATGCAGATGGACTTAAGCGAGGATAGAATTCTGGTTCCAAATCCAAGCGGCACAGCTGCAAATATGTTGGTGATAGATGCTGAATTTGCTGAGCTCCTCTGGTCACTGCGAGAGTAGAAAGTCGTTTAGAGGTTTTCTAATTTGACAGTTTTGTAGGTGAACAAGAGTGCTCAGCAATGCATCTTGCAGCACCTGGCATCCATTCAATTCCGTGTGCATCCCACACATTGCTTGCAGAGCCTTGGAACGAACAATTCTACAGATATAGCAGGAACAGAGTGGCCAAAATTCAAGATCGGGATAAAAATCAACATTCTAAGCTGCCTCTTTTTATCTAACTTTATGGACCCTGGAAAATTTTGATTCGGACCTTTGGACAAACTTACTATCAACGACAAAGAGAGATGGCATCACCCATTAACGGTTGCAGTTGTTGGTTGTTGGAAAGATAACTCGGCGAGGGATAGAAAAGGGTGCACTCACCGTACTCACCCGCAGCAGATTCCAGATGTGACCAACCTGCTTTAACTTTTCAAGTTTTCACGTCTGCAGCACGCAACGTTTCACTGGTCAGCTTTCAGACCCATGACCCACCCTGTTTCTGCTTTGCTTGAGGAGCTGTCGACGAGCGGCATCAACCCGAATATTCCAGGACTTTCAACTTTCAGGACACCTTATCGTACGACAACCTAGATTCAGATGGCTTGGGTAAGGCCTTTTTTTGTTCTGTTTCCAACACCAGTCTTGAATGGTAAGCTGTGCAGGAAACAGTGGGAATGTGGCAAGTTTGACTTTGTTTGGCTGGACTATTGCGGGACACTCATGTTTCTTGTCGAGACAACTATATCGATGCAATCAGCTGTCCTGCGCCTTTGGTTTCACAGCACTTGATATTTTGACGACGGCTCTTCTGTGCCCGCTGATCCGTGGCCAGCTTGCAAGTTTCCGCCTTCCAAATTTGTGGGCATTTGCATTCTTCATCCTCTTGCAAAGCTCTCTCTGGTGGTCTTGCAGCGCTTGAGCTACGACAGAATATTCAATTGTCGCGCCATGACCTATATCTAGCGGTAGAATTCGGTGCACTCAGAATCATTGTGAATCGGCCCAATCATTTTTTTAGTGGCATTCCGATTCCTTCAAGTACTGTCCGTTTGTTGCTGAGCCGCTTTGCAATTTGTGGCTCGTAATGTGCCATCAGCTACTATATACTGAGAAGGAATATGCTCTTGTACGGTTTGCCTGTAGCTGATGGACATTTTGCATTTCTGTGAGGCTGGCAGAAAGCTGGATCAGAAGGTAGATATGAGTCATGAGTCACGAGTCATGAGCAACAATTCTTTTTTGAAGATGCTCATTTCCATTTATGTGCGCTTGTCACCACTGATCTGGGGCGCTTCTTACAGGGTCTTGGGCTCTATCACCAACCATCACTACTGTGTGGAGCTTGATCCAAGCTTGTTGCTCCTCCCTCGTTCGAGAGGAAGTTTTAGTGATGTCATGCAAAGACACTCGAATAAACTCGATTGCGTCCTCTGCAGCTCTACCTACCAGAGGCTCTGAGCCTGAAAGATCGCCAATTAAGAAACATATAGGACTGATTTTGTTGGCCATTGAACTCGTTTGAATGCGTTTGAAACTGCCCTAGACACAGTTCCTGGATCTCTCTAAGTGTTTGAACTGCACGCATGAGTTCAAACTTTCCTTTGCAACACTCAAGGCGGTGCTGCTTTTGCTACAGACTCTCTTGCTCCACTTTGTTGTGTCAGTCTGTGTCAGTTGGGCATGGTTTGCGAATGGCCATCAATTGGAGACCATCGAACAAGTCTCCCATAACTCTGCAAGTTGTCATCATCCACAACTCCGTTTTTAATGTTTGAAGTGCTCCGACCCGGAGTGAGCTCCTCAAGCACGGGGCAGATGATTCACAACAGTTTCAGAATAGAATCGAATCACACTTGGGCTTGTGCCTGTGTTCTTCAAAAACCTACTTTATGCTCCCTGGGTCTGAAGTAGCTGGGTAAGCTTTCGATGTGTCATCAGGGACATTCTTTGTTTCTGAGGTCTTTGCCTGGGCAACGGAGGCTGGATATGTAACTCTATTTCCTTGATTTTTGTAGCCGTCCAACGCTGAGACAACCCCAAGGTGACTCCGATGTGTAGAACTCAGACTAGGCCAGGATTCATGGTAAGGTGAACAACTCTCAGTTCAAGCTTGTAAATTCAAAAGGCGGCATGGAATCCACTCGTGTCCTCATTCTTAGCTCGAAAGGCGAAAGGCACACTAACGCACCTTTTCTCAGCTCGAACAAGAAATGCCTCCATATTGGGCATACATGGTATTCACATCACTTCACAGACTCCCCCTCCGCCACTCGGCGGATTGCATGGACATGGAGAAAAGTCCAAAACACGGGGCTCAAGGCATTCAAGTTCTCTTAGAGCTTTTAGCTCTATAGTATTCGGCTCGCATCTTTTCAGCCGACCATCCTTTGCCAGCATTGTCATGCTGGAAGCGGTTCCAAGGATTCGTAGGAACCGGCTCACTCCTCTGGCTTCTCTGATGGCTCGCCTGCGCGTTCGCCACCAGGTTCATCGGGGTGCTCGGCTGTGCCACCACTTGGTGCAGCCTTGCAGAAGCTGCTATCGCTTGCTCAGCGACTTGCCCAGCCATCATGGCTTGTTCCGCGGCTTGCTCCGCGGCTTGAGCTGCCAGCTCTGCACTTTCGGCCGCCTTCTCAGCTCCTTCGGCCGCTGCACAAGCTGCTTGAAGAGCTCGTTCACTTGAAACACTCAGTGAACTAGAGCTCTCGCAGCTCCCCTTCTTTTCCAGCGATCGTGCCATAGAACTCCGCCGTCTCATAGTCCCCTTTTCTTTTTCGACCCTCAAATCGTCATCACGACCCGGGCCCTCTACCAGCATGGCTTCGGCTGCATCGAAAGAACACCCATCAGCCTCTTCTTCAGTTGCT